GCTCTGTGCCATTTCTGTCCTGAACAGCTTTGCAGTGCCAACGTGCTATTAAAAATGTGTCAGGCACAGGCAGGCAGTGTAACTCCAGCAGTATCCTGCACAGTGGCCCTCCATGTCAAGTATTTTATTGATCTTTAATGCAGGCACTCCAGCCTCATTATTCTACATGCAATAAAACCTGAATCTCTAAGCCTGGATGCCAGTGAGAATAGGATATCCTCAGAAAACCTAGCCTGGCTGTTTATATGTCTGTACATACTATAAAGCAGGAGATAAACATCTCTGCATTTGCATTTTGTGCAAAAGCCAGAGCCAAAATGTTACCTAAGGAGATGTGATAGTTTGCAGGAGGTGTGGGAGGTGTGTTGATTACTGCTTGAGTTGGCCATATCCCTGCTAGAGGTGCAGGAGGCTTCTTGAGATTGGAGAAAACAGAGCACCCTTCTTTGCTTAACTACCTGAGACCTCTAAATGAGACCTTCATGGTTCATCTTCAGAGTCAGGGAATCTCCTGTGGTGGTTTGATATGTGCTGGTACCATCTCAGTTCTCATGCTCTCTTTCACATCTCTAATGATGCCATGTCTGATTGCTCCTTACAAAATTGTTCCTGTATCAGAAATTGAGGTCACAAAATGTTGACTGAAGGTGGATGAGAAATGGCTATTACCATCAGTGAAATGTTCAGTGATTTCAATGGAAAATTTCCTTTCCACACCTTATCAAAACCTGAAGAGACAGAGAGATTACAGAACACAGAGGGACACATATACATTCAATCCCTCCAGCTCAGATTAGCACAGAACCCTATGTGACATGGGTTGTAAAAGCTGTGATGTTGCTAAGTACAAGAAGAAATTGTGTGTCTTAATGGTCCTTTTCTGTCCCTTCTAACATACAAATGAGGAGTGAGGCAGGCACAGGCTGGGTGGGGGTCATCTTTGGAGGGGTCTCAGACATGCAACTTCTGATGCAAAGATTTTACTGCTGGTAAAGTACAGATACTGGCAGAAGTTTTCACTATGCAGAATATTTTTTCCCTTTTCTCTGTCAGCAGCTCCATGTAACTTCTCCCCATTGGTAAAAGAAATCTGATTAAAAATAGAGTTGTAAGCAGCAATGATTTTATCCCACTGAAAAGACTTTTATCTAACAGAATAAAAAGTTGCACCTGGGTATAATTTTTCAAATATGATGAATAACAGCATAGTATGACCCTCAGTGCTGAGAATTTACTCTTAAAAGAACTACTGAGCATATCAGATATACTCAACATTTTCCTTCCTATCATTTTTTTTCCACAGGCAGAGTTTGCTTTATGGATACATCTTGACAAAAATCTGCCACAGGCAAATTTCAACAAAAGAACAACTTCAAACACATCCAATTAACAATTTATGACAGGAAATCCAACAGAAAATCACACAGAGATTCACAGGGCATAAAATTTGGCACCAAATCAAATTCAATATGGAAATGTCTGTATAGGGAGTTATGGCCCCTTACAGTGTAGGGTTAGGGTCTTTATCTGTGGAGGCTCAGTGAGAGCTCTCCATCACATCTTTTCTTACTATAAACCAAATAATTTGTCACACATGGCAAGGAGCACAACTCAGAAAGGAACAAAACCCACTGATAGACCAAGAGATCTCAGTTTTCATGTTATAAGTATCAAAAGTTATTAGATTTCTTCACACTTTTGAACCCAGGATTTGCTCACTTTACCAGAGGAATGAGGGGCTCTGTACCACCAACAAACAAAAAATCACTTTTATTTGTCAGCACAGCCAACCACCATGGACACCCTGATAACAGGGCATGTTGACTATATTTAAATTTACCTTGGAACCTTTTTTTGCGGTCCGAAAGGAAACTTCAGTTCTTCTGCATCCCATTGGTTCCTGATTTATTCACTCATTCAGCAGCTGTGGTTGGATTTTCTCGAAAGATGTTAAGGATACAAACTCATGTAATTGCTTTCAGCAGCTCTGAATTAATTTGGGCCACGATTTTGTTTAGAGAAAAACATCTGTGGCTTGACCATTAGCTATTTAAACACATGAATAACCAGCTTTTGTAAGAGATGTCTGAGCAGCATCACTTCAATTGCACTTTTGGATTATTTGAGAGGGGCGTGCTATTTACAGATATCAGGACTGAGAAGTGGGGATGACTAATAGAGTTGACACAGGCCAAGATCAAGCATATTTGTGATACAACTGAAGCATATTTGTGACACAACTGTGGTATTACATGGATTAATGTAATTTGAAGAGTTGGTTTCTGTATTGCTGGTTCTCTTGTTAGTCTGTGCTCCCACATCAAAGCAGAGCAGGAAACATCAGCTTTATCTTCCACCGAAGTGCATGTTTGTGTGTGGTTCTCTTGTTAGTCTGTGCTCCCACATCAGAGCAGAGCAGGAAACATCTCACAGCTTTATCTTCCACCGAAGTGCATGTTTCTGTAGAAGAACATGGTTTTAGTGTCCATTCATGTGCATTGAGGTCCACGGCACAAGGTCCAGGCTCTGACCAACATGGTTTTAGTGTCCATTCATGTGCATTGAAGTCCATGGCACAAGGTCCATGGCTCAAGGTCCAGGCTCTGACCGTGGTCCAAGAATTTAATTGGATCACTATTTCTTCAGAAGGCAGATACTTGGGCTCTTCCAGCCTACTTGGTATTGTGCAGTATAATTGTCTCTTCATCTCCTAGTTAGCCCACTGGTGAAGATGAGAAGACACCTCTGTCACTGTTAATGAAGCATTTAGAAACCCCAAGGGTTTTTTTCCTGGAGTCCATGACTATATTCTTTTGGCAGTGGAGCACTTTACCAGATAAGTTAGTCTCCAAGACACATAATAATTAGTGAATAAAACACCCCCAGGGTGTCTTAATCCTATTAAAATGTGTCGTTTTAACTGTAAATGAATTTTTAACCTAATTTTAAATTATTATTTCCTTCCTGTAACACACCCTTTGTCTGTAGATAACAGATATCAGGGAAGCAGAAGGTGAAACAAAGCAAGACATTAATGACAAGGATTTTTACCTTCTGTTTATATTTTTGAGATGTATTTGACTGTTTACTGCTGATTTTTCTGTAGCCTCTACTTCTTCCCTCAGCCCTCTTCTCTCTCCCATTGTGTAACTTTGTCTGCAACTGGATGATGACAATAATAATAAATTACTTTCATTAGTTAAAATCTAATGTAGGCAACTGCAAAAATTCCTTAATTTCTAAATGCAGAAATGATACACTTTTTAAAAATTGAAGAAGAGCAAAAGAATTAAATAATCCAGATGCCTGATATTTTTCTTTAAATATGACTGCAAAAGTTAAACAACACTCATTCCATGCCTCCTTCACAGTTCCTCCAAGTCAGATCTCTAATCAAACAAGAAGTTAAATACATTATAAGTTATTATTTATTTATTTTTTGTCTCAACCTCCTGCCTTCCACATGCATCATTGTTTAAGCTACTCATTCTTGCTGTTGGAACTGGATTCTCTTTTAAGATTCCTTCTAACCCAAATCATTCCATGATTCTGTCATTTGACGTTGTTTCTGCTGCAACTTCCAGTCCACTCCTCCCATTTATTCCAGTTCCCTGTGCCTTTCCAGCAAGCTGCCTCATGGCCTTGCTTCCTAGTCACTCTGTGGCATTTCAGGCATTTAACATTTTAAAAAACTTAGCCACAGCAAGAGAGCAAAGGTCTTAATTTCTCAGGCACTTTTGCTGAACAGCTGCAGTATTTGTGCTTCAGATAAGTCCACATTCAGAGAACCGAACATCCTCCTGAATTCTTGTGCTTGACTTTTCCTGTAGCTTTCAGGAGCTTTGGGAACATTCAGGTCAAGAATGCTCTAGTGACCAACATTCCTTCTTCCAGCTTGTCATTGGAAGGTCATTGGAAGCACTTGGTTTGCTTCTTTGTTGGAACTTTTGATTAGGAGTCAAAGCTCATCTCAAGGGCAGTTTAAAGGACCATGTGCATTGTTTGACACAAAATACTCATGCAGTTGTAGGGTTGGAGTGTTCAGCAGTGCCTGTTAGTTTAGGACTTGAGCTCAGTCTCCTGATTCTCCATACAAACCTTGTGTCTGTTTGTTCTCTGACTCCACTCTAGACTGAACCTAACATCTCTATAGGCACAGAAGGTAAAGGTTAGGAGGCAGAGAAGACCTTGTGAAGCATCTACCCCTACCTGCAGTGTAGAATCATTAACAGATTCTTGCAATGTGGGTCTGAATAGAAGCACAAGTTCCCAAGGCAGAATTATCATCTTAGAAAATGATACCTGATGTGTCAGCAAAATCAAGTCAACTTTATAGAGTGAGCACCATGAAACTGTGAGAGGTTCAAACTCATGAACATGCAGTTACATTACTATAAGGCTTTTTAACATTTTTTTTTAGCTGCATTTATTTTGTCATAAATAGGCAAGATGCCATCCTTCCTTCTGTTGAATGTTGCAAGCTGGATCATAAAGCTTTCAAGGCAAAAACACAGGCATTCTGTCTGCTTGAGGAAGTATCTAATTCCAGAAGAAATTGAAGGAAAATGACAAGGTGTGATTTTTCAGATGCACACAAATGTTTTGTTCTGTCAGAACTGCTGGAAAACAGGGGCTGCTTGCTGGGGCTTAACTGGAGCTCAGGAAATCTGGCTTAAGTTTCAAGACTTGGAATGTTTTCTCTCATGTAACTTACTGCTCTTTGTCTTTTTGCCACAATTTAAACAATCTCTCACACTACTTACCACCTCTGGAAGTATTTAAAAGAAATGTGGATATAGTGCTTAGTGACATGATTTAAGCACTGAACAGGCTAATTAGGTTATGGCAGGGGGATGTAGGTTATGGTTGGACTTGATGATCTTCAAGGTCCCTTCCAACCAGGATGATTCTATCCTTTTTATTTTCCCATAAGAAGACAAAGTAAAACTGTACAACTTTGACATTTCCTTCACTTTCTTTCCATTGTTCCATCTCAGCAGATCCCAAAGACCCCCTTCTCTGACTTAGCTGATGATGAGAAGATCTTTAATGGAGGAGATGGCATGTGGCAGAACCAGAACCAGGACCAAGCCTTACTCTCAGAAATCACAGAAGAGGACCTGGAGGCCATCCGTCAGCGAGAGGAAGCCATTCAGCAGATTGAGGTCAGTAACCTTCTCCTGTCATGGGCTGGCAAGCTGGAAGTGGAGAGTTGGGCAGGGAGAAACTTGATTAAATTCAACAAGGGCAAGTGTAGAGTCTTGCATCTGGGGAAGAACAAGCCCATGTATTGGTACAGGTTAAAGGCTGACCTGCTGGAGAGCAGGGTAGGAGAAAGGGACCTGGGGGTCCTGGTGGGCAGGAGGATGAGCATGAGCCAGCAATGTGCCTTTGTGGCCAAGAAGGCCAATGGCATTGCCATTAGAAAGGGGGTGGTTCGTAGGTCAAGGGAGGTTCTTCTCCCCCTCTGTTCTGCCTTGATGAGGCCACATCTGGAATTTTGTGTCCAGTTCTAGGCCCCACAATTCCAGAAGGACAGGGAACTGCTTGAAAGAGTCCAGCACAGAGCCACAAATATGATGAAGGGAGTGGAACATCTCCCTGATGAGGAAAGGCTGAGGGAGCTGGGTCTGTTGAGCTTGGAGGAGAGTGAGGGGTGACCTCATCAGTGTTTACAAATATGTAAAGGGTGAGTGTCAGAAGGACAGAGCCAGGCTTTGTTCAATGATGTCCAGTGATAGGACAAAGGGCAATGGGTGCAAACTGGAGCAGAGGAGGTTCCATGTGAATGTCAGGAAGAACTTCTTTGCTGTGAGAGTGACAGAGCCCTGGGCCAGGCTGCCCAGAGAGGCTGTGGAGTCTCCTTCTCTGGAGACATTCAAACCCCCCTGGACACGTTCCTGTGTGATGTGCTCTGGGTGCCCCTGCTCTGGCAGGGGGGGTGGACTGGGTGATCTTTTGAGGTCCCTTCCAACCCCTAGGATTCTGTGTGAAGTGCAGATACCTTGTGTTGTCCATTGCTCAGTATGAAGGAAATGTTGATTTCCTTGGCTACTTGTACAGTATCACTAAATATGGGAGAGATTATCAGGTGTTTCTAAAAATGGAAATCAGAGACAGAAGGAAGAATTAGAAATCCATATGACCTGTAATGGAAATTACAAGAGTTAATTAATGTTCATAGGCTAATTTTGTCTTTTGTTTGGGTTTTTTTTTGTCTGTGAGTCTTCCATAACAGAGTCTCTAGTGAGGTGGTTTAATTGAGCAAGGTTTGCAGAAAAACAACTTCCTTGTTGCATGCAAGCTTGAAACTGGAATTTGTCACAGACAGAAAATACACAGCTTTACCATTAGAGAAAATAACAGGTGGACAAAAGGAAATAACGTAATAACTTCAAACAATTCAGTATTTTTACTTTATCCAAGTGTTTGGAAGTAGTTAAAAGGCATACTACTTTTATTAGCTTTTTTTTTTCCTTTAGCAAGTGCTATAAATAAAATATGAACAAAATTAATGGAAAGGGGTCTGAATAAGTTGAACATCCCACAATTTTCTTTTTATACACCTCTTTTTATGCGTTTGGGAAACTATTGTTACTCAAATTTAAGCAATGAATGGATAAACCCAGAACATTGAAAATCTTTCTTATTTTTATGCTTTTACAGGCCTAAACTCAAGATGAACCAAAAAAAAAGAGAGCCTCAGAATAATAATAACATTTAATTAAGCACTATGCTTTGTCCTTTAATTGGATTGAGCTAATTTTATCAGAATGGATTTTGGTTGCCTTGTAGAAGGAATTGTGATTGAGTTAAACAATGCAAAAGGGGGCAAATGTTCCTGTTGTAGGCTTGGGCTTTGAGGGCTTGACCTCTGCAAATCATGGTAGCTACACAGGATTTAACACCATAAGTAAGAAATTCTGATGGTTTTATAGTGTCAGTATATGTCTAATTTCTGTTGTGCTTTGCTGAATAGAGCTGGTTGAGTTTTGTGGACTTGTGTACATTCCTAAGGATTGATTTTTAAAAGAATATTCTCACACTGAGTATCCTTGGACACAAATTGTTTTTTTCATCCTTGAGTAATTTCTTTGCATCCACCAGGGCAAACTCTAGGGAACTTTGTTGCAAGGAAATGCATGTTTTGGGATGTTGCTGCACTTTTGGTGTTTAAGGAGAGATGCAAAGGTGCTTCTGGAATGATGTTGTGGAGAAAAAGGATGTTGTTGTGATTCTTTTGTTTGAAATACAGACCCTGCCTCTTTCTCCCCATCTTTGTGTTGCCCCCTGTTCTCCCCAGAATGATGTGGTTGATTTTGTTTACTTTTCTCCCTGATTTGAATTTACTTCTGAATAACTTATTCAACTTATTCAATTGATAAATTATTTATTTTGAAATGCTTATGTCCAGCCTTCTACTTCCTAAGAGTGTGTGCACTTCCTTTTTACCTTTTCTTTTTTTTCCCCTATTTTCATCATCCCTGCATTCATTTTGGTTTGCTATCCAAGATCAATGTTCATCCTGTAGGGAGGACTGCATTCCACAAATATTATTTCAAATGTTCCTTAAACATTTCTTCTCAGGAGGAAAACATTTAGGACCAATAGTATTTTATTTAACATCTCTTTTAAATGAAATATAATGAAAATGGAATGGGTTTTTGGACTGCATCATACCTCTCCCCAGCTGTGTTTCAGTAAGCAGATGGTGCTTTTAAATCATTTTCACTGGGTTTTGTTTTTCTGTTTGTTGACCCACATGAACATATTTCTTGCAAAAGGACTCATCTTGCACATTAAAACTTCCCTGGTTTCATTAGAAGTTCTGGGTACAGAGAGAAGGGACTCACTGAGCTCACAGTCACACTTAGAACTTTTTTTCTGCTGTTTTCAAATCAGTGAGTAACCAAGAAGATTAAAATGAAACATTACTCCTAACTGTCAAACACATCTAATAAACTAGATTGATTGCCAAATTGATGTATTACATTTGTTCTTCTTTGCTCTTTGGAGACTGAAATGAAGAACGGACTTGTGCAAAATGTCTTATGGAAGTAGATTGGTCTTGCTGGGTTTTTTTTGCATTTCTGCCTATGTAGCACCAGAAACGTGTATATCATAGAATCACAGGGGTTGGAAGGAACCTCTGAAGATCATAAAGTCCAACCCCTCTGCTGCAGCAGGAAAAACTAGGGCAGATCACAGGAGAATGCATCCTGGTGGGTCTTGAATGTCTCCAGAGAAGGAGACTCCACAACCTCTCTGGGCAGCCTGTCCCAGGGCTCCATCACCCTCACAATAAAGTTTCTCCTCATGTTGAGGTGGAACTTCCTGTGTTGTAACTTGGTGCCTTTTCCCCTCGTCCTATCACAGGCCACCTATGAAAAGAGACTGGCCCAGTCTTGACATCCACCCTCCAGGTATTTATACATATTAATAAGGTCCCCCCTCCGTCTTCTTTTCTCAAGACTAAGAAGCCCTAGATCTTTCACAGCTTTTCCTCATATTGAAGATATTCGAGTCCCTTAATCATCCTTGTTGACCTCCACTGGACTCTTTCCAGCATATCCCTGTCCCTCTTGAACTGGGGAGCCCAGAGCTGGACACAAAAGGTCTTGTAGATCTTAAATAGCACAGGAGAGGCTAAAGAGCATCACTAGAACATCACATCTTCTGGGCCACACTGTTTATTCAGAAAGCAACTTTGGAGAAGCACATGGTGCTGGTACCAGTATTGGAACTTTTTTTTTTTTTCCCAAGAGACATTGAATTTGCCCTTTTTGCAAGAAGAGACATAAAACCTTTTTCATTGCTAAAGAAATGAGGAAATAAATTCTCTTCCCATCTTGAGTCCTGAAAAATGGATATTGCCTATAATAGACATTTTCTTAATGTTCCAATGACTTTTTCCCACTTGTGTGTTTTCCACATCTCCAGAATCTCTTCAGAGGTTCAGGTTAATGGGACATTGTTCTCTATCATGAACATCCCTTGAGGCACTTTTCAGCATTCACAGTTTCCACCTAGAAAGATAACAGCCATGTCAAAAGTTCAGCTGGCTGTTCATTTCATTTAAATGTCCTTCTTTTGCTATTGCTTGGAGATTAAAAATAGAGAAATCTGCAAGGGAGATGTCTCGCCAAAAAGTTACATTTTGGATCAAGATCTTTATTGCTTGGAAATGTCAAAATCTGGTAGGACACAGCAGCCTTGACACAAGTGTTATTTCTTAAAATATTACTTTGAACTGTTACATAAAACCTATTTTAACTTGAACTGTATTGGCAGTGAATAATAGATGCCATAACAACTTTATATATAGCACTGTAAAATGTGCCATCAGAAATACACGAGCCAAACTGTAATGTGCATTGTCAGTGCTCAGTGCTGGCACAAGCTCTGTCACAGCAAATATATATCACTTAGCATCCTGTGCCTTTCATTGGCACCTGTGGCCAAGTGAAAAAATGGAAGGAGGTAAAACTTTGAGAAGACATGGATCACCCTTGAATGGGGAACTTCATAATTTCATCTAGTGGCTGGAACGACCTGTGAAGATGCTAAATGCTCTATAAATACGTAAGGGTGAGGTATCAAGAAGGCAGGGACAAGCTTTTTTTTCCTTGAGCCCTGTGATAGGACAAGGGACAATGGACTCAAACTATAGCACAGAAAGTTCCACTTTAACATGAGGAAGAACTTCTTTCCTGTGAGGGTTATGGAGCACTGGAGCAGGCTGCCCAGAGAGGCTGTGGAGTCTCCTTCTCTGGAGACTTTCAAGATCTGTCTGGACACGGTCCTCTGTGGTTTGCCCTAGTTGTGTGTGGTTTTCGGTCCTGCTGTGGCAGGGGGGTTGGACTCAATGATCTCTGGAGGTCCCTTCCAAACCCTAATATTCCATGATGCTGTGATTCAGAGATTCAGAAGCCCCTGGTGACCATCCCTGTGCAGGCAGCTTTTTATAGCAGTCTCCCATCCCACTCTTCTGCTTGCCAGGTTGCTAACACAGCAGTGGACATTCTCCTATCATGAAGAGTAGAGAATAGCCCTTTTTTATTCTGTCCCAGCAGGAGGAGCAGCAGCCATAAGAACTCAGTCAATGGAGGTAGACAGCTGTCTGTTTTGTCAGCTACCAAACCTAGCACTACCAGGACTAACCCCA